GGGGGGGGGATTTGTATAGAGGAAAACATCAGGAATGATTAGAGAAAAAGTACGAGGTGGACAGTTGTGAGCACAAAGTACAAACCAAATGTTCTTGGTGTTGTTCTCGTGTGATCTGACGGAGTTGTGGACATGGGAGTGCTGCAAGCTGCATCCGTGAAAACGACATCATCAATGGCGACATAACTTTGTCCGTAAGAGGTCGAAGTAACGTTCCTGTCCGCAACAAAAGCCAGCTGCAGAAAGAAAGCATTATATCTTTCATTTTAGTAAATGTTTTACAGCACTTGCAACACAATAAGGTCATATAAGTGCCGAAGATTAGAGGTGTTACAAGAGAGTTATAAACACAATAGAGAAAGACGGGAGATAAGGGCAACAGATTTTTTTTTTAATAGGAAAGAAGGAGCAAACCACACCAGAGCACCCGCCAACCACCCACAAACATTATAACTATAAGCTTGCTTCAGACAAGAACATTCCCTCCTGAGCTAAGAAAACTGTGTCTGAGTAATTATCACAATCACACCAGTTCTCCCTCTTTTTAGACAAAAGATGACTTGAGAAAGTTATAACATTCATGGTTGGATTGAAGGTTTCAACCCAAAAATTGTTAAAAGAATTTCTTACGATCATGGCATGTTTTTAACTGTTGGACAATTTTTTTCAAATTTTCTTTTTTTAACTCAGCACTTCTTATGTACATTTAAATATTTATTTCTAAGCGGAATTTATTTTTTTTAAAAGGTTGATCAAAGGCATAAAAATATTTTAAATTTGCAGTTTTCAAGGACACTCAAGCTAAGGAAGTCACCAAAGTTCGGGTGTCATTTTCTTGCCAAATTTACTTCAGACACCTCATGACCCCCATCTCCTTCAATCACAAATATCTCGACTTCTGTTCAAGATAGAAGGGGATTTTTTTTCCAAAATAGCAAGACAAATGAGCAACTTTTAAGATAATACCAATAACTTCATATGCCTAAGAAACGATGAGCGCCTGATTCCATTGTGTCATGACACAACATTAAATTTATTTACATTTCATAAACACATCCTACAAAAACGAAGTTACCTCATAGTATTTCGTGGCAGAGTAATCAATTTGAGCATTCCTCCATAAAGGTCCTTGACTACCCGTCTTGATCCACATATCTGTAGCCGAAGAAGCTTCTGGGAGTAGTTGCACTTTAAGAGTCCCCACATCTGAGAAACAAAGTAATTAATGATATGACGACGGTCCTGGCTGTTATACTGATGAGAAAGCCAGGACTGGGGACCAGTGTTTTTGTGTGGTGTAATGGCAAGGCTCTTCGTCTTGTACCCAACAGATTGGAATTTGATTTTCATGTCATGAAATCTGTATGCTTCAAGGGAAGCCGAGAATGTTTCTGAACATTCTAGGGTCTGCAGGAGCTAAATATACTTTCAAAGTGCGTAGAGCATGTTGTAAATGTGAGTGTATGGAATTAACGCTTCTATTGGTACTATAAGATTATTTAAGAGGAGGGTGAACATGCTGTAGAGTGTGGAAATGCGCTATATGAGTGCAATTATTATTATAGCCTGAATTATAATCAGATTTCTATATTTCTTTGCCTTGAAGTGGCATTCCTCTCAGTGTGGATGGACCAAGCAGTCTACTGTCCACAAGATCTTATCATATCATAAACATTGACACATCAATCAAACCCAAATGTAGGCCTACTGAGCTATTTTGTTTACCACATACTCTTGCAGTTTATAAGAAAGCTGACAATACATAAATTATCTTCTTTAAGTCTTATCCAAAAGTGACAATATATCCCTGTGTAAGCACATACGATGGATGTAGAACAGCTATAACTGAATATACACTTTCCACCATCACTCAAAGCCTCAAAACTCAATCAACACTCTGTAAGTGTGACAAACTGTAATTACTTCTTCAAAACTCGGGTTTCAGTCAAG